TAATAAACCTGATCCCACTTAATCCCTGAAAGACGACACCTCTTGTATCGTCCCTGTCTGCTCGGAGACTTTCAGAACGCGAGGAAGTGATGAAACATCTCTGCTAGGTTTTTTTTTAGTTCTCCAAAAGAAGCTGGAATGCACAGAAAAGGGAAATGTTTCTTTGGCAGCGCCGACGTGGAGCCTCCCTGAAAGCAATTCAGACACTGAATTAAAGGGCGGATCTGAAACGGCTCTCTCTATTACTGTGATTAACAGATTCTCTTTGGTCCTTTTCCAGTCACGTCCCGGTTGTTTTAAATCGTCTCTTTCGTTGCTTTATCAAACAATAGCAGCAGGGACTGGATGCTGTCTTCACCTTCAGGCAGGAGGTTAAAGTTGAACTCGACCCCCAAACCACATGTATTTAGTAGTGCTGTTGATTGATTCAGGTCCTAATCTTGAAATACTGTATCTGTGCAAAGTATTGAATTCTGAAGTGTTATTAATGTGCATGGTGACTGTACTCTATTGGTTGGAACTGGCTACTACAATTTAATTTGACTATCAGTTAATCAGGAGGCAGGTGAAGCCAATGCGTCATGTGTTAAAGCTGCATTCTCTCTAGTGTCCACCAGGGGGCGACTCCTCTGGTTGTATAGAAGTCTATGAGAAAATGACTCTACTTCTCTCTTGATTTATTACCTCAGTAAACATTGTAAACATGAGTTTATGGTCTCAATCTCTAGTTTCAAGTCTTCTTCAATACAGCATGATGTTCATTTAGTACATTATGGTCCATTTAGAGTCACACAGACCATAAAGCAGGGGATGCTTTAGGGCGGGGCTACACGGTGATTGACAGGTCTCTACCAGAGATGTATAGGGCGTCTACGTCCTAATATGGTCACTTCCGTTTATCGGATGCAAAAAAAACCAACATAGCGACGGCTGTAATTCAAGATGGCTTCAAAACATCAGTCCACAAACCAATGGGTGACGTCACGATGACAACGTCTACTTCTTATATAAAGTCTGAGTCAAACAGGAAGTTAGCAGCAAGTTAGGTTCCCTCTACAAATCCGTTTTTTAAGTTTTAAAAATGTCCTTCAGTCAGCAGTACCTTCTCAAAGCGCCTACTCTTATTAACATCTTTTACCAATTGAAGCACCATTGTGATGAACATGTGGACCCCCCCCGTCCATCACATTGTTCACCCTCGTTGGCACAGGTTGCCCTCTCAGGAGTGGAGGGTGTGTATTACCTTGCAGTCCATCCGGCACAGTCGGCCCTCCTGAACGATGAGGTCACCGGGCGCCTGCAGGAAGTGGGGCCGGAAGTGGCGCTCTTGGATGTTATCGTTCTCGTCACCGCTGTCTCTAGACCTGGACCTGGGCCTGATGGAGACGGGGAGACGCACCGCATTTAGGATTTAAAATCAACAAGTAAAAAGTAGGGGTGGGGGAAAAAATCGATACAGCATAGTATCGCGATATTTTGCGTGGCGATATTGTATCGATACATGGACGCCAAGTATCGATCTTTTATTATATAAACTATTAAAAAATAGTTTGTTTTTTTTTTAGAAAAATCAAATCCATTACTTTTTCAGTCCACTAGATGGTGCTGAGTTGTTTTCTGGTGAGGTCAGCAAAGGTCCCGGGTCAGCGTGATTGGTAGGAAGTTGGTCAAAACAAAGATAGAGACATCTGGCCTCACAACGGGTTAAATCTGCCAACAGTAGCCAGGCTCATGGGGAGAGTGCAGCGCATAACTGTCTCTCTGCCCTCGACGTCCACGCATCACAAGTTATACTGAGTTATATAACTCTTATATCCTACTTATATAAGTTATAGTTCATATACTGAGTCCACACGTTTGCATTTAGTTAAGTTGGACTATGTAGTAATACAAACAGTTCAGTTTGTCAGGTTCATGCAACATTTATGACATTGTTGGTCAGTCTGTCTGCTTGACAATCCTATTCTGCTACAATAAAAATGATTGAAGTGAGATGAACAGACTGAAAACTTTATCGTATTAGATAAAACATGTTGACACAGTTTTCCTTTGGGGACATCATTTGAAGTTGAAAAAAGTAACAAATCGCAATATCGTGATAATATCGCAGTATCGCGATAATATCGTATCGCGGGATCTCTGGTGATTCCCACCCCTAGTAAAAAGACACATTCTGTAAGAGAGTATCACCAAACACCAGCTTTTAGAAGTGTTTCATTTGAGCCTTTTGGTTTTTCTGGTGAGTGTAAAACTCCCTTTCAGAGCATGAATACTTTTTAGGAGACACTACAGGCAAAAACATCGTTCTTCATGTGCTGGTCAATGTAGAGATTTTGGTCTATTTTTCTTCCATGATTCATGCGTACTTGTACATTATATATTTCCCCTTTCATAGACATAACACGATGTATTATAGGACCCTATTATAGGATCATTTTATTTTGGATGAATGCTCCACTGTCTAAATATATACGAGAGCGATGAAACACAGGTGTTCCACACTGTGATCCAGCTCACAGCAAACGTTTGTGCAAATAGCAGCTTCTTGGAAAAAAACACGCATTAAATGTGTGAACAGAAGTCGTGCAGATGGCGACCAGCCTGCTGCACATGTGTCAGCCTGCACGCCGGCAGCTCTGAATGAGTGTTTATCTGTCCGTCCTGAAGCCTCACCTGCGCATGTGTCCGGGGGCGGAGCGGGGGCTCCGGCCTCGCTGGTTCACGGCCTGGACCATCATCCTGCCGGTGCAGCTGACCCTGCCCTGTGAGAGAGAGAGAGAGAGAGAGAGAGAGAGAGAGAGAGAGA